ATCACATACTCCTACTGATACTTATTGTAGAGGTCAATATCTCTACCAGGGGAATCGAACATACTCTGATTTCAACATGGAGAACTATGACCAGTTTGAAAAACTCAAAGAGTGTAGGAGGAAAGTGGTCATTTAGAAACATTCTCGGCTTCCTGGTCAGTTGGGCATTGTAAAACAACACCATAGAGAATGGTTAGAGACACTCAAACCTACAGCTTGACAAACATTTTTTCAAACATTTCATTTATTCCTATTGAGATTGAGATATAAACATATTTCTTGGAACACAAAAAAAACAAACATTATACAAACATATCATGAGAGGTGGACATTAAAAACCTTTCACACATCACACTCTATACATTATATCATATCATTGTAAAACCTTCTGTTGAGCATGATGAAGGAAAAGCAACTTGTCCATGGAAAAAAAAAAAAACCATTAGCGAAAGCGATGAGTCTGTCATGAGGAGCGGCCCTGGTGGGAGGACAAGGGGTTCTGCTGTAATCCGTTGCTCTGTGGGGGCATCATCTGGCTGTGGTGAGCAACGCCCGCCATAGCGCCCGCCCCCTGGCATTTCTCGAACCACATCTGCCGCAGCTTGAGCGCCTCCTCCCTCATGGAGTGGACCTGCACGCGCAGCACGGCGTTTTTCCTCTCCAGTATACTCGCCCGCATCGCCAGTTCATCCTCCCTCGACTTGCGCGAGTCTCGAGACTTTTTGGCCGCCTCGTTGTTGCGGCGGCGACGTTCAAAGTATTTGTCGTCTTTCTGCTCTTCAGGAATAGCTTTCTTTTCGCTGCGAGGCCGTTTGTTCTTATCCTGACTGAGCGTCGCAATAGCTTTGGCCAGGGTGCCACCTTCTAAAGCACCTGAAAAGTTACAGTTGCGACAAAAGTTGTTTCAGAACTACATTTTTCACAAGTATCAAGGATCCAAGCTGCACTTACAAGAACGGAAATTTTCCTAACTTGAGGGAATTTGAGCAACGGGAAAGGCAGAAAGGCAACATTAAAAATAAAGCAGGACTTTTGGAACACACACAAAAAACATGAACGTATGGAGCACCCGTATTTCCAGAATTCCAGACACTTTCAGAAAAAAACAAAAACTATTCAAAGGAAACACTCTCATTCCATATCATATCTCATTCCATATCATATCTCATTCCATATCATATCTCATTCCATATCATATCTCATTCCATATCATATCTCATTCCATATCATATCTCATTCCATATCCTATGGCCTTATTGGCAACTAGAGTCAGAAAAAGAGTGAAAAAGCAAAGGAACATTTTGCAAATCTGTGCATAGAAAATAACCAACTTTCACCAAGCACTACCATGACATTGATAAGGGTTGAGGATTATATTGAGCTTGAATAGATGAGCAAGCACAGAACCTTCTAGATCTTCTGTTACAGGTGGTCACAGGGCGGTGTACGCCCAGCCACCGAGGACAGGCTTAACTGTACTCAACACTTTGCAGTGACACGACACAGCCCGCAGTACAACACACCCCATCTGGTCCCCCAGCCAGGAGGGTGACTGCAACTGACTTCTGGAGCCTGGCACAGAACTGCGCCAAGTGAACAAATGGGATAATTTTCCGCGGCGCATTGTGGCAAGTGACGGCAAAGTGTTCAAGAAAAACCTGCATTGCACAAACACAACGCAATGGTCTGCGGTTAATAGCACACACCTCAGGGGACAAGAAAAGAGAGTTCTTTGCCCTTATGTGAACGTAATGTTAACTGTCATCAGTTGCTGTGAGTCAGCTGGCACCGAATCTCCCGAAGAGGGTTGTCGCACTGACACGAGCTCGCTACACCGAGGGACCACCGGCAGTGGCCGCTGTAATAACGACACAACCCTCTCAGTCTCCCCTCTCACACCGTTGAACAGACAGAGGGTTGTGTCGTTATTACAGCGGTCACTGTCGGTGTGAGTGGGGAAGGTTGTGTCGTTATTACAGCGGTCACTGTCGGTGTGAGTGGGGAGACTGTGAGAGAGTTGTGTCGTTATTACAGCGGTCACTGTCGGTGTGAGTGGGGAAGGCTGTGTCGTTATTACTGCGGTTATTGTCGATGGTCCCTCGGTGTAGGAAAACCTGCCACCTAGTACCTCAGCCAGCTCGTGTCAGTGTAGTGTAACCAACCCTGTGCAGGAAATCACTAGAGGGTACATCTCCAGTGTCAAGTGGAACATTTGGAGAAGATACTTTTTCAGCAAGATTGCTCTAGCATAAGGTGGAACTTCATGACTTTCTTCGCTATTTCTACATTTTTATTAAAAAAACCAATCTTAGTTTACCGGGGCTCCAGATCCTCATGAAAGCTTGAGGGAGGAATGAAATTAACATTTTAGTGTGTTGGGTTTTTCTAAGGTAATAAACTAAAGTACTAACTTATAACTCCTCAGAAAGTACAATTGGACGATATTCTTTACCACAGTTATTCTGACAATAATAAATTGAAATTCTTGGTAGTTCTATGAGGTATTTGATCAAACAAACTTCATATTTCAAAAGCTACAAAAGAGTATTTCTAAATAAGTTGACCCCAAAAAGTTTTGTAGACAAAGTGACAAACAAGAGCTCTGACCTGTTGGTCCTTCATGTACTAAGAAGAGGGGGTCTGGGGGTGATGCTCGCTCCACGTTTATGTCTGCAAAACAAATTTTGGAAAAGCCAAAAGTGTAAAAAATCAAAGAAAACGTAAACTATTTTTTTCTTCGGGTTTCTGATCTACGTTTCTGATTTCACTGGCCAGGTGGGGGACCCAAAAGCCGTAGGAAGAGAGGAAGGCCAGAGCTCTGCATGATCGGGAGGAAAACAATAGAAAACAAAAACAGCCAGTCAAGTTTCTCAAAACCCCCAGGGAATTTCTCGAAATTCTTAGAATATTCTAGACACAGGTTTGACATTAGTTCAACTGACTCATGTTCCAAGACTCACATTACTGCTGGTACCAAGGACTACAATGGAAATTTTTTTTAAAATATATTAGCTCCCATTTTTTCCAACAGAACAAGGAGTTTAAAACGTAACAATATGACGGGTACAGGGGGAAAACAAGAGTTGTCAGCTGTGGCTACTCTCAGTTAGACCTGGGATGGACAGAGTTGACCCACACACACACACACACACACACACACATCTCCTGTCCTAATGGACAGTGTTGACACACACACACACACACATCTCCTGTCCTAATGGACAGAGTTGACACACACACACACACACACACACACACATCTCCAGTCCTAATGGACAGAGTTGACCCACACACACACATCTCCTGTCCCAGTGTGACCCACACACACATCTCCTGTCCCAGCGTGACCCACACACACATCTCCTGTCCCAGTGTGACCCACACACACACATCTCCTGTCCCAGTGTGACCCACACACACACACACACACACATCTCCTGTCCCAGCTAAGCGTCCAGCACTACAACCTGAGGGTCCCCCAACACGAGGCTTGGACAAAAAGTTCTACCGTTCTAGAGAGAAATGTGGGCGGTCAAGCATTCTATTTCGGTTTTTCTCAAATACTCAAAAGACCAAAAACATGACACCTCTTTATTTTCTCCAGTGCCCGTCATATTCATCCATTCCTATCATCTAGTACATTTTCACTTTGCTGCAGCATACGTACAAAAGTGTGATGAAAAAACACAGAAATCATGACACATCTACGAGTGTCCACGTATGGCAAACATTGACACAGAGGGCAGACCAGCACTGAGAACAGCAACAGGTCTAACCATCAGCTGCCTCACCACAGGCCACACATACGGTACAAAAGTTATATATATATATATATATATATATATATATATATATATATATATATATATATATATATATATAGTTGTAGAAACAATTGGAATATACCAAAAGTTACCCTTCTGAATAAAATACTAAAGCAAGATGAGATAAAGAGTATCTTGTGACAAATCAAGCATATGAATAAGAGCAGTACAAAACACATCAAGGCTACCCGTAATTAATATTGTCAATGTAAAGTGCACCGGACAGATGAGGAAAACCCACACTAAACAGAAAAGTTTTGCTTGCATAAAATGTCCCAGTTCTGGAGGACGACATATATATATAAATAAATAGACTGCCAGCAAAGTTGCAATACTTGTTTCAGCAACGTCAAACATTTACAACACACACAAACAAAACCGCAGAACACGCACAGATATTCAGCACAGTTCTAGCACAATCATTACAGAGATGAAACGCAAACCAATCGCTGTAAAATTATTCGTCATAATCAGTTACAAACAGCCACAGCCCGTTGATTCAAATATAAGTAACAGAAGTAGCCATAAATACCTCATTCAATAATTTAATTATCACCGGACGCACCCAGTAACAATTGCTAAATAAAGCTGGTGAACTAATCCCACAGATGTACACTAACTCTATGACTAACCCTGACTTTAAGCATTTCAGTTGATGCCCTGCCTCCCCTCCCCCCCCCACCCCCACCCCACCCCCGACTGCTAGCAGACGGTTTCCGTACACATTGAGTAACTTTTACATTTCTACTTCCTGTACAAGAATCACAAGATGGCCGAGCCCAGGACACAGTCTCTCTGTCTCTCTCTCTTTCTCTGTCTGTCTCTCTCTCTCCGTGTCTCTGTCTCTCTCTCTGTCTCTGCTTCTGTTTCTGCCTCTATCTCTAGCAGCCACACTAGAACAGTGGACAACCCCACTACTCTGCCCACAAATCAAAGAACAGACAACTACCCGTCTACGCATTTCACACATCACACACATGTCGCAGCACCGGGATCATTTCTGCAAAGCTTCAATCACAAAAACGTCACCCAAAATTAAATGACTATTCGGTTGAAACTTTTAAAAAAACATATTCTTTAAAAAAAACCAAGGAACAGAATCTAAAAAGTGGTGCATCTACAGATCGCATCAATGACAGATGAACACTTTCCATAGAAGGCAACAAAAACATGATATCCATTTTCTAGAAAAGTCATATTTATTTAAGATGGAAGCCAAACTCAGCACTTTCAAATTTCTTAAAGTCATTAGACACAAAGTAAACTGAAGGTAAAGTGACATTCACGAACCACACAAGACAGATGTCTCAAGACGTAAATATCTAGAATTTTCCAGTTTCTACCTTATGCTACATGTGTCAATTTGCTGCATCTAGAAACCACAGCTGAACTGTGAGGGGAGCTCTATGTGTACAGTTCTATGTGTACAGTTCTATGTGTACAGTTCTATGTGTACAGTTCTATGTGTACAGTTCTATGTGTACAGTTCTATGTGTAGGGGAAAATACAATAATCAAAACAAATAAGAAAATGAATGGAGCAAAAAACAAAAGATCTGATACAAAAACCTGCAAAATGAAAAGCAGGATGAAGTACAGTTTTAGCAAAGAAAAAGACAACTTCTTTCTAAAGTTCTAATTTGCAATGACTCAACTAAAACAAAACACGAATAGCGTCTACTCTAGGCCACAGACGTCTCTATGTGACTGAAGTCAGTAAGTCACTTTCTTGTGACAAGGCACAGTGTCTTCTCAAAGACAGACTAAAATTCCCATTATAGTTACATTAAAACAATATTTTTTAATTTTTTTTTAATCCACTGCGATTGATTAGCTGCATAATCTATTACAACATATTCCAATAGCCATATTCTACTAAGACTTAAAGATGCAAACTGTGACATAATATGTTGGTGCGTGAAGTAAAACGTTCCCAGCATCCATTGCTTCCATGAACAAAAACACTGCTCAGCCCGCGGTCAAACAGACGAGAAACAGTGACCGTGTGTCACATCTGTACGTAGAAGTTTGTCACGTCTGTACAGAGAAGTTTGTCACGTCTGTACAGAGAAGTTCGACGCAGCTCTACCTCTGGGCTCAGGGACACGAGACAAGACTGGAACATTCTAGACAAGGTTAAACGCTGTGTGTCATCGAAAAGATGGCCGCACGATGATATGAGTCATCCAAAAGACGGTCGCACGATGATGATCGACATCACGATGACCGACCCCGCGATGGAGGCATGTGTCCTTGACCCAAGGCTTGGGGGGCGGGGTTAACAGTCTGGCCTAAAGAGTCTCTGCCTTTGTCCATGGGCGTGACGGAGCTGCGATAGAAATCTCCCGTCTGGCACTTCTGGAACCACATCTGCCTGAGCTTCATGGCCTCCTCCCTCATGGAGTGAACCTGCACGCGCAGGACCGAGTTGCTCTTCTCCAGGAAACTGGCTCTGATCGCCAGGTCATCCTCTCTCTGCTTCCTGGCATCCCGCGACTTTTTGGCCGCCTCGTTATTTCGCCGCCTCCTCTCAAAATACTTATCGTCTTTCTGCTCATCGGGGATCGGCTTCTTCTCGCTACGAGGCCGTCGGTTCTTGTCCCCGCTCAAAGTGGATAGGGCTCGGGCCAGGGCTGGATTGGACATCCCACCTGGAAATTCATACATCACAGATGACGACAGCTGTCAACTCGATCACATGCCGGGAATGACTTCTCGGATTGTAAAGTACAGGGAAAATAGAACGGTCATTTAGTCTGTTCCTAATGACTTCTGGGACTGTAAAGTACAGGACAATAGAACGGTCATTTAGTCTGTTCCTAATGACTTCTGGGACTGTAAAGTACAGGACGACAGATTGGGCATTTAGTCTGTTCCTATCCAAGTCCTACCATGCAAGAGGTGTTCTTAATGACTTCTCGGATTGTAAAGTACAGGACAACAGAACGGTCATTTAGTCTGTTCTTAATGACTTCTGGGATTGTAAAGTACAGGACGACAGAATGGGCATTTAGTCTGTTCCTATCCAAGTCCTACCATGCAAGAGACACAGGACAGCAGGAGGGAACTCCAGCCTGTCAACAAAGTACTTTTTCGTTGATTTTCTTCTTTGACAAAATGTGTATACCCCCATCTACACAATGAAGATGATCATTTAGGAGGCAGACTTCATACCCTGTCTGTCAGGGCCAATGCGGGCTGAGAGGGATACAGCATCCCAACAGAGAAAATGGCAAGGAGATATAATGACGGACAAGAAAAAGAGGAGAGAGAGAGAAGGAGATATAACGACTTACAGGGAAAGAGAAGAGAGAGAGAGGCAAGGGGAAATAACGACTGACAAGAAAAAGAGGAGAGAGAGAGAAAGAGAGAGAAGGGGAAATAACGACTGACAGGGAAAGAGGAGAGAGAGAGAGAGAGAGGCAAGGAGATATAATGATGGACAAGGAAAGAGGAGAGAGAGAGAGGCAAGGGGAAATAATGACTGACAAGAAAAAGAGGAGAGAGAGTGAAGTGGAAATAACGACTGACAGGGAAAGAGGAGAGAGAGAGAGAGAGAGAGAGAGAGAGAGAGAGAGAGAGAGAGAGAGAGGCAAGGAGATATAACGACTGACAAGGAAAGAGGAGAGTGGCATCAAAAGTCAACTGAGCTTCTCCCAATGAAATCAACACAATGAGAATGAGATAGATCTATGGTTTCACATCAGGCATCAATCTCACTTTCAGAAATAAACAATGAAATTGACATATTGGGACATGAGTAGAGGATGAGGGGAGGGCAAAGGGGTGGTTAAGACAGCCATGCTTTGTACGTTGAAGGACTCTAAAACATATCATAGATCTACACCGTACCAATACATTTAATGACAAAAGCAAAAATGTACAAGTCCGAAGAACTCAGTAGTCTCCTCCACAATAAAAGAAAGTACAAGACCAAATTCAATCAAAACAAACAAAAAAGCAACAGCAAAAAAAAAAAAAGTTCTGAGCTTAAAATAGACGAACTCATCCTCAAAAACTTCATTCAAAAAAAAACAACCCACACAAAAAAACTCCCCTTTCATTCTTTTAGACGAACATGCAGAACGTTAGCAGAAATGAGGCCCACAATAGGATGACTACAGGACACAACCTTGTCACAAACACTGGCTTCTGATTATGAAATGAGAAAAGTCTCCTTCACCTACCC